ATAATATACAAGTTTCACTTTTTAAATGGAATTACTGAAATCAATCTACTTTTTCATGATATTCTAATTTTATGACCAGCACCTGTATATTGTGGGTTTGCATTATTAGCTACGGTTCTGGAGTCTTTTGGGATCATAATTCATCTGGAAACTTGAATCTATTTCATATATTTTGCTGCATTATAGCTGCTGGATGTTGTTCTAGACTTAGATTAGACCAATGTTGTTTTTTTTAAGTCTAAACACAAGAGATAGAAATGATGCATTATTGTTGCTTTGAACTGTGTGGAGTTTGGAAGCTGAGGCAAAAGCATTTCTTGCAAGAAATAAGGTTCATATTTATTTAACGTCCTCAGATGGAGAGATAGAGCTCTGACTGGGCAAAGCTCAGTAAATACATTTATACAGCAACTCCCAACACACACTCTCCCTTGGAACTATCCCATCCCTACATAAAGAACTTTCTCACAGACGAACATTTGGTTATTCCCATGAAAAAACACTTCAATTCACCAAGGGCATAAATTTTAGCCAGATAAACACTCAGAAAGAGGCTGTGAACTCATTCTTATCTCTCATGCATACAGACTGGTACAAGACCTCTAAGCAATCTCTCCTATTTATGCAGAGAAAAGGCAAACTAAAAATGTTTTATCTCATAAATAGGCCAAGGAAAAATATGCTTCCACAACAGTTTCACCTGTCCTCAAGAAACCACTGAATTCTTTTTTCTTTTCTGTATTTTCTTTCTCTCTCCTTTGTCGTTCATCAGGTTACAGCTCATGGCGACGGTTCTGTAATCTCTCTGCTCCCAACTCTACCTCAGAACTGGCAGAAATTTTAGGGAACTCCACCTTAGCTCATAAATTTAAGCTTTTATACGGGACCCCGCACAACATGGATGTGTGGGTGGGGGCCATATCTGAGCCCCCTCTGCCCGGCGGACGAGTGGGACCGCTCCTGTCCTGCCTGCTGGCCAAACAGTTCAGAGCACTGAGAGACGGAGACAGGTAGGACTACAGAGGGAACCAAACACTTATTGAAGAGGTGGACATTTTAATCGGTTTTCTTCCTTCCAGGTTCTGGTGGGAGAAGAACGGCGTCTTCACCAGAACCCAGAGGAGACACCTGCACAACGTCTCCCTGTCCCGCATCATTTGTGACAACAGCCACATCACCCATGTCCCTGCGGACCCGTTTTCACGGACGGAGAGCTCAGATGACATGCTGACCTGTTCCCATCCACTCATCCCCCATCTGGACCTCAGCCCCTGGAAAGAGCCACAAACCGGTGAGGAAGTGGAACTGAGGAGATGCTGAAATCTGCATTTTTAAAAATAACTCTGTCTCCTCCAGATCCCATCTGTGGTCCGATACCCAGGATCCACTCAGGCTACTCGCTGCTGTGCAACTCGACAGTCCTTTATGAGTGTCAGGCTGGATTCAAGCTGCTGGGCTCTCCACACATTAGATGTGATTCAGAGAGCCAGAGGTGGAGCTCGCCGCCTCCAACATGTGAAGGTGGAGGAAACATGTCTGAATCCCTCATCCTTTGCAAACTGCTAAAATGTATAAAATGATTCATGATGCATGTTTACAGCAGGATCACTACCTCTAAACAAAGTTGGTACTAAACCTTCTCTATAGGGAGGATTGCAGAAGTATCGGTTGAAGTGCAAACTTTATTCTCTAGAAAAGGGGAAAAGAAAAAAAATCAAGTCAGTTTTAGAGCAAATAGATTTAATATCAGTTAATTTTAAAGATATATCATATCTGGTTTGCAGATATGATATATGGCTGAGTACAGTCACCATTTTACTGGATTTCTATATGGATTCTACACTTCAAATACCAGAAGTATTCTGGATGGGGCCAGCTTTTAAAGTTGCCTTTTGTATCTATGCTTCT